CACATTGCTCTTAATGTGCAACAAAGAGTGACAGACTTATTATAGGTCATATGGCATTAAAAATTGTGAGTTGGATTATTTATATAAAAAAGATGTGCTAGGCTTTTGTAATCCCTGTTACTCCCAATACAAAACACATAAATCACTCTAATATTAAATAGAGTGGGTGTATATATAACTATAACTTATAACTGGTGTTCTATATATTTTGTCTCTAAGCTGTTTGATTTCTAGGATATTGTAAAATACATTCAAATTTGAATACTTTTTTTAGTTCTTATATGCACTATTCTCTCATTTCTCTTTGACCACCTCGGCGTCAACAAAAACCCCATTTGACCACCATTCATTTTATTTAAACCCCAAATCTCAGCTCTTTCAGGCATTTCATCAAACACCTTTCATTCATGATGAATAGAGAAGCCAATAATAGTATAGACACTGATGCCACTTCTCTTAAGGTTAGTTTTCAAGAACTTAGTGTTAGCAATACTAATAGTACTAGCATTGAACTTTGTAGCACTAGTTTTACCCTATCTGAGAATAGTGTAGGAAGTAAGTTGAGTGATGGTGGTTTTGAGGGAAAAGGGATGGATTCTTTGAATGTTGGAGTTGACAAGAATGTGGAATTTGTTGAGAGTGAGAATACTAGTTTTAGTTCAGTTAGTTATTGTAACAGTGCTGACCCGAATGAGGTTAGTTATAGGAGGATTTGTCCATCGAAACCTCACAAGGGTAACGATATTCGGTGGGATGCAATACAATGTGTGAAAGGGAAAGATGGGGAGTTGGGTTTGGCACATTTTAGGCTTTTGAAAAAATTGGGATTTGGCGATATTGGGAGCGTTTATTTGGCGGAGTTAAGAGGGATGGGATGCTTGTTTGCAATGAAGGTTATGGATAAAGGGATGTTAGCTGGGAGGAAGAAGGTGATGAGAGCTCAAACTGAGAGGGAAATTTTGGGTTTGTTGGACCATCCATTCCTACCAACCCTTTATTCACATTTTGAAACGGACAAGTTTTCGTGCTTGTTGATGGAGTTTTGCAGTGGCGGAGATCTTCATTTGCTCAGGCAGCGCCAGCCCGGGAAGCATTTTACAGAACAAGCAGCAAGGTCTGTCTTTTATACTATGTTCTGTTTTTCAACTGTGTGGTTGGCAATCTTACTGCATATTTACCAAAGATTTCAATTTGTATGCTTCACTAGTTAAGAAATAATTGTTTCTTTGTTTAAAGTAGTACCACTGGTATCTTCATTAAGTGTCTTATGTTGCTAGAGGATGTTTGATAAACATAACGCCTTGCTGCTAGTCATTTCATCACCGTCTGGTTTGCTGATTTTCCTCGAGTTTCCTGTGTAGCGTGTGTGAGGAATATTTATGGCGATTGCTCATTGTTTTTCCAAATTGTGTCTCAATCCCCACTTTCAAATCCTAGAAGAACATAGTTGTTAACACTGCTGAAGCATAAGGCTATTCACTTTGCTTTCATGAATTCATGATTCCAATTCGAAATTCAGAAAATTGTAATTTACTTGAACTATTTAAACATGATCTATTCTAACTGGGCGTTATGCCATTTTTGTCATTATATTTTGATAAATAATTTGAACCTTAATGTCGTGCAATAGTGTATATTATTTGGTATTGAACTTCCAATAATTCATGTCTACAATTTTGAAGATTCTTAAAGAGTTTGTTTCCTTTTTTGGGTGGCAGGTTTTATGCATCAGAGGTGTTGCTTGCCCTCGAGTATTTACACATGATGGGAGTTGTATACAGAGATTTAAAGCCTGAAAATGTGCTGGTGAGGGAAGATGGCCATATAATGTTGTCTGATTTTGATCTATCATTGAGATGTTGTGTCAATCCTACCCTTGTTAGATCAAGTGATGAACCTTCTTGTGCTATCTCTGCATATTGTATCCAGCCATCTTGTATTGATCCAGCATGCAAATTACCTGTTTGTGTGGAGCCTTCTTGCTTTCAACCTTCATGTTTTAAGCCTCGGCTCTTCAACAATAAAACAACGAAAACAAGGGGTGATCGTGCAATGGTTTCTTCTGATTCACTTCCTGTGCTGGTTGCAGAGCCAACTACAGCTCGGTCCATGTCCTTTGTTGGAACCCATGAATATTTAGCCCCAGAAATAATTAGAGGAGATGGTCATGGTAGTGCTGTTGATTGGTGGACATTTGGGATATTTCTGTATGAGTTACTTCATGGGAAGACACCATTTAAAGGCAATGGAAATAGAGAGACATTGTTTAACGTTGTTGGACAACCTCTTAAATTTCCCGAGGGATCCACAGTTAGTTTTGCTGCAAAGGATTTGATCCGAGGTCTACTTGTGAAGGATCCTCAAAAAAGATTAGGATTTAAACGAGGTGCCACGGAGATAAAACAACATCCTTTCTTTGAAAACGTTAACTGGGCTCTCATCCGAAGCACTCATCCTCCAGAGATCCCTAAACCAGTTGATCTTACATTTTTTAAACAATCGTCTCATGCAAACGAGAAAGCTGCTTCTGATTCTGATAGGTCATCTGGTCCTTACTTAGATTTTGAATTTTTCTAAACAAATTTTTGGAGGGTGTCACTTTGATGTTCCTAAAGAAATATTTATTTTCACTTTACAATTATCTTTTCTTTATCATAGTACTAGAGAATCCAGAGTATACATGTAGTTCTCTTACCAACTTTCTTCTTTTAACTGTTTTTCTATAGAAACTTACAAAAAGATAAAGGCATTGGAATCTCCTGAAAATGGGGTTTCCTTTTCATGTCTATACTTTCAGAAAAGTGAAAGGAATATAAAAGTAGCAGAATAAATACCTTTTCTTTTATTCTGTTAATTAGATACTTCGTTTGAGGTGTATAACCACTTTCCAGGACACCCTTTTACAGAGCACAAGACAAAGACAACACAAGAACTTTTCCTATAAAAACTTCCTTCCCCTGTTGTTTGTAAAGCAACTTAACATGTGGACAGTGGACCATTAAAAAGACGTGGTGCAGTAGATGAAGCTGCTCCTTTCTTTACCAAAGGTTCCGAGTGCAAACTCTGGGTATGAAATTTTTTTGGTAGGGAGTGCGGCACAAATTTAAATTAGTCAAGTCTTCAATATGGATACTGAAAACCGGATGGAAACCAAAAAAACTTAACATTTGGACAAATGATGATTAAGTTATCTTTGCGTTACATATTTGGCAATGTGGAGTTAGTGTCGTTTTCTAGCTAATAATATGTCAGTGTTGCTTTGACTGGACATGCTAGCTAGCTACAAGGTTTGTTTAATTTGGATATTTTTCTTTCCAAAAACTGATGCTTACTACTATTGTTGTAAGATGCATTTGGCTTTTTCCTCAAAAACAGTAAATTATCTTGAGTTGGATGCCGACATTCTGTTCAGGGTTGTGCAGTCTAGGTACCGGATTAAAGTGGAACCAATTTCTTTCTTCAATGTGCAGACGAATCATCAAAGCCACTCTTTTCTCCAAACTACATTTTCATAAATACAGATGGAACAAGGGAATGACACACACTTCTGTTTGATCATAGATTTTGAAGTCGAAATTTGAAACTTGAAAATTTGAATTTTTGAAGTTGTAATTGAAATTAAAGTCCAAAAACTTGAAAATATTTAAAGATCTAATTTCCAAAATATGATCAACTTCACGGCCAAACAAATATTTAACTATATGCGCGTACTATTTGATTTCAAAGAGACATTAATGCATGTTGATTTTGGACCTTCTTCAAAATAAACTCACATTCCAACATTCAAAAGCTAAATATGAAAGAATAAAATACAATGAATCCTATCATAGATTTAACTTTGCGTGCAACCTGTTAACTCTTGTCTTCCGCCAGATTATATCTGTTAAACATTTATTAAGAGATGGCAACGTCCTAGCTACTATCTGTCCGCTACGGCACATTCATTCTATAAGTTAGTTCATGAGATGAATGGTAACAAATTACTTATAAAACTCACTACTTCACACGTGTCATCTCATAATTCTATGAAAAGGAGGGACATTTTTAATTCAAACTAACGTTAGGTAATTAGAGTCCAATAAGTATAAGATGAAATATTTTTAACTCGAAAATTAACGTTAATAAATACAAATTTAAACTGAGGATTTATTCAGTGCGCACAAAGTGCTCACCTGAAGGACTGAGGTTGTGGCAGAGGTTGTAGCGACTGCGAGTTATCATAGTTAAAAAAAAAATACAAATTTAAACTAGTTTTAATAAGATAGGGAAAAAAAATTAATTGCCTTTCATTTAAAAATGTATACTCATTGGTAGAGTTTCAGATAAAATGTAGAAAGCAAGCATCTGCATTTTGTTTTAAGGTCGGAACCTGACAAATATTGGCGAGTTCGTCAAAGATGATTATCGAATATGGAGTACAAATAGTCAATTCTTCAACAACTACTTTATTTATATCATCTCATTAAGATGGAGGTTTCAAGAATATTGTGCCTCACCTTGGAGTATTTGCTACGAAAATAAAATGTTTTCAACCGTGTGATTAATTACTAATTGGAGACGTGCACTTTGATAGAAAATTTTCGAGAATCAACCATGTTAATTTTGACCTATATTTTAAATTATTATTTTTTTCATCATATTAATATTAGAAAAATTCCAATTGTATTTTTCATATGTTAAACTAATTCAATTTTGAGAAGCAAAATATAACAATTATTTTGCGTATGAAAAAGTGACATTAACCATCTCGGAAATCTCCAAGTGAAAACCATTTAGGAAATCACGCTAAATATTTGTCCTCATATGGAACGCAAGCTTGTTTTTACCGTAACAAACTTGTATATATATATATATATCTAAGCTACAAGAAAGTCAATCGAACTTAACACTCCCTAATTAATTAGTTACCACTTAACACAAACTCAAAGCCAATGGCTAAAACAGATTCAAAAAAATTTCCAACAATTCAACAATGTGAATCAAAGGGACGTGAAGATCAAACAGTAGTAGCAGACATGGATGGAACATTACTAGTTGGACGTAGCTCTTTTCCTTATTTTGCACTTGTTGCTTTTGAAGTTGGTGGTATTTCTAGGCTTATTTTTTTAATCTTAGCATCTCCGTTGGCTGGCTTTTTGTACTATTTCATCTCTGAATCCGCGGGGATTAGAGTCCTAGTCTTTGCAACATTTGTTGGTATGAAAGTATCTGATATAGAATCCGTGGCACGAGCTGTTCTACCAAAGTTTTATTCGAGCGATTTGCATCCTGAGACATGGCGTGTTTTTTCATCGTGCGGGAAAAGGTGTGTTCTTACCGCAAATCCTAGGATTATGGTTGAACCAGTTTTGAAGGAATATTTAAGTGTTGATATTGTTATTGGGACAGAAATATGTACCTATAAAGGAAGAGCTACTGGATTTGTTAATGAATCTGGAGTTCTTGTTGGTGATAACAAAGCTAAGGCACTTCAAAAGGCTTTTGGTTCTAAATTTACTCCTCATATTGGACTTGGTGATCGCAAAACTGATTTTCCCTTCATGAATTTATGCAAGGTTTGTAAATTTCCTCTAATTCTGTGATATTATTTTCGTTTTAGTCTATTCTTAATTAAGTGATACGTTTTTATATTTTTTTTAAAAAACTTGTTATATCCTTTATGGCATGCTCTTGTTTTCATAGAATTAGCATGCATATGTAACGCAATAGTTTTTCAATTTTTAATTTGTGTCCAATCATTCATAAAAATTTGTATCCAATCATTCAGTGTGAAATAGTAAGTTTTTCAATGCATAATTAGTACGTGGTGTGAAACATTTTAAACACAAAAAGTCACAACAAGGTACGTAGTAGTTATTAGGTAAACTTTTATGAGTACTATTCTTTCCAGTCTAAAATATCATTAACTAATTTTCTTACAGGGTGTATTACATCCTAAAAATTCATTTATTTTGGATCAAAGGGAGTATTTTTTTTAATGAAAGTAGTACTCCCTTCCTCCGTTCTTTCTTACTTGTCAATTATGCATTTTGTTTTCCTCTCAAGACAACATTGATTATTAGTTTTACTAAATTTTCCATATATATTAGTATACTTTTTTAAAAATTGATTTCTAATATTCCGTAATTTTGAGAAATGATTGTTCAATCATAAATATATAATTGGAGAATGTATTAATTCTCTCGTAATTTGATAAAGCTGATAGAAAAAAGAAAAAAAATTATTTTTACTATATTAGATTAGGTAAAGAGGAAACAAAAAGAGTAATTTGTTTATTTATATCAAATTACACTAATACCAACAAGGGTTGTGGTTAGTAGTCATTCATTCTTAACCAGAGGTCTCGAGTTTGAGTCTCTTTGAATCCCTTGGATAATCTAAAAAGTTTACATTATCGAGCACATAACTTAGATCGGGAATAAAACAACTCTTCTCTTATTACCTTATGCAGGAAAGTTACATAGTACCACCTGAGCCTGGTGTGAAGCCCATGAGCCAAGATAAGTTACCAAAGCCCATTGTGTTCCATGATGGCCGACTTGTTCAAAAACCAAGCCCTTTAATGGCACTCATCATTATTCTTTGGATCCCTGTTGGATTCCTCTTAGCATGTTTGCGTATAGCCGCGGGTACGCTCTTACCGATGCCTTTAGTCTATTACGCCTTTTGGTCCCTTGGGGTTCGAGTCATAATCAAAGGCAACCCACCTCCTCCGGCCCGAAAATCCACGGGCCAAACCGGTGTCCTATTTATTTCCTCTCATCGAACCCTTCTTGACCCAATTTTCCTCTCAACGGCCCTAGGTAGGCCCATCCCTGCTGTCACTTACTCGCTGTCACGACTCTCTGAGATTATTTCACCTATTAAAACGGTCCGTCTTAGCCGTGACCGCATAACGGATGCTAACATGATCAAAAAACTTTTACAAGAAGGTGATTTGGTTATATGCCCTGAAGGAACAACATGTAGAGAACCATTTTTACTAAGATTTTCGGCTTTATTCGCGGAATTAACCAACGAGCTTGTCCCCGTGGCGATGTGTAATAAAATGAGCATGTTCCATGGCACGACGGCTAGGGGTTGGAAAGGAATGGACCCTTTTTATTTCTTCATGAATCCTAGCCCTTCATATGAGGTGAATTTTTTGAACAAATGGCCATATGAATTGACTTGTAAAGCTGGAAAATCAAGCCATGATGTGGCAAATTATATACAGAGGACGATTGCCGCAACGTTATCGTATGAGTGCACCAATTTTACAAGGAAGGATAAGTACATGGCTTTGGCTGGAAATGATGGAACAGTGACTACAAAATCTGAATTTGCAAGCAAGAAAGTGACGACGGGCTGCTAATAACAGAGATAAAAGTTTATGATTTGTCTTCAAGAGTTCTAATTTGGTGTTTTTCCAAATTTTATAGACATGTATAGTTAGTATACTTTAATAGAAAATCGAAATAAACTAGTAGTATAGCGGTTGTCTTGATATAAGGACAGATAAAATACTTCGAAAAAATATGTACAAAATTACCTCATAAATATGCAAACGTTTTAAATAGATGTACATAAATTATGCTATACGTTTCACCGTATTACAAGAAATGATAGGTAAGATCATCTTTTAAAATCATGAATTTATCGCTATGTTAATAAATTTAAAAAATGGCCTTAAATGAGCTTTTGGGAAAAAATCATACGATCGTATTAGAAGTATTCTTGGACCGGCTCAACAATGAGGCCCAAAACATAATTTTCTGAATCAAATTTCACCGATCAGTCAATTACAATTTTTTCTTCAGGGTAATTGATTTACAGTGTTAGGTGCAATAAATACACTATATCATGCATGCCAGTAGAGTGTTTATTGCTTGAAAAAAATGGAAAAAGGAGTTATCCCCTTTGTCCAATTATAGTTGTCCACTGTTCTATTTTAGGATGTCCAATAATTTTTGTTCACTATATGAAATCAATGAATAATTTTACACTTAGTTCCTAATTTATTCTTATCATTAATTATAATTCTTCTCTATTACATTTTTCAAGACATTGTATTTATTATATTGAAAGGGTGATATAGTAAAATTATTCTTTTGTTTATAGTTTTTAAGAAGAGCGTAAAGTCAATAGTGGACAAATATTGTTGGACAGATAGTGTCTAATAGTTAATACTACTATTCAAGTAATATTTGACTGTTTGCAATTTGCAGTATAAATAACATAAATATTTTTTTCCAAAAAAAATAAAATGAAGTCAGTTGTAGGCATAAAGTATTTTCCTTTTTAACTTCAATGTCATTTACCAAAAAAGTACTCTCCTTTTTTTCACATTGTACACTGGCAGTAAAAGCTACATACCATAATCTAATAACAGAAAATGAAAGTAATCCACGAAAGATTTCTCCAATGAAAACTAAATTTACTTTTGAGTTGATTTCTGATATGGTTATTAAGTGTTAACTTCTCACAAAGTCACTTCTCTTATTAAAAAAATTGGAATCAAGAAGAAAGACGACTTCGTGTAACACTCTGTGTTGTTTGATGGATTGTTGTCTTCATGTTATTCTTCTATTCTCCCTCTGTTTCATTGCCGTTTTTCCTCACCTATCTCATTCTTCACGTCAATCTTCCTTGTGGAATGGCAATAAAGAAATGTACTGATCCTATCTCCAGTTTCCCTCTTCCTCTTTTACTGGTTACAGCTTTGATGAATGCTTTTTTTTTTCTTTCAGAAAAACGTCGATTTTGAAACTGACGACTAATTCCTTGTCGACTCCAATTGATCCAACACGGGTTACACAAATTTCATGGCACCCCAGGTTTGTTTATATATGGCTGATTTCCTGAGAATTGCAAAGAATGAAGATTAATTTGATGGAGCCCTGATAATGATTTTGAATTTATGCAGAGTTTTTATATATAGGAATTTTTTGACAAATGAAGAGTGTGATCATTTCATCTCACTGGTTAGCCTTTTTTTTCCCTCTTTCTTTCTCTGTTCCTATCTTTCATTCAGAAATGTGGGAGTTTTAGTTAATGCAAGTAAAGGTCATTTTGCGTTAGTTTAAAGAGAAAATAATTTCTTATATACATTTTACTAATATTTGAGTTGAGGGTCTAAACATCCTCTCTATGTTCAAAAGTTCTGCTTTCGCACTACTCTCTCCAGACCCCTCTTATGAGATTACACTGACTAACCGAGTGTTTAGCCCCTATATATCATTGGATGTGAAGTTAGCGTCCTCTATATGTATATATATATTCATCTCCAAATTATTTCACTTCCAATAATAGCCAACAACTCATTTTCATTATTTGGTTTTTCTTTGCCTTTGTTGGTTTTGGTGTTGACTGTCTTGACTGGCTTTTTACCTTTCTTGCCAACCTTGACTGATTTAGATATCTTTTTTTCTCTTGGCTTTCTTAAGCGTGCAACTTTAGGAAGAGGTTCAGAAGGAGGATGACATCTCAGTCCAGTCACTATGGCAAATTCTTTCATGCCAAAACAAACAGGCATGCCACAGTAGTTTATCCAAATCTCATCCATTTTCTTGTTCTTATCCTCCAAAGCATCATCATCAGCTCCCTTATACTTGATCCTGTGCTTGAGAAGATCATACACCATGCTCATTTGAAAACGTGCATTGTTAGCCTCCGGCAGATTAAGAAAGTATCCAAAACAGCTAGACTTAAAGAAATCCTCCAACTTTTCATTCATCAATATTGTTCTAAAAGCATCAAATTTGGCACCCATGGCTGATTTTACAACAAAATCACCTGTCAAATTTGTAGGGTCATCTATAGGCATCTCTACATGAAACTTGTCAATATTAAAAATTTTGACAACATCTTCATCTCCTTCCTCACTTTCAGTATCATCTCCTTCATCACTTTCATTTTCATCTCCATCCTCTTCATCTCCTTCCTCACTTTCTATTTCACCTTCCTCCTCATCTTCTTTATCATTTTCAGTTTCTTCATCATCTCCATCTTCATCATTTATTTCCTTTTCTTCTTCATTTTTATTTTTATCTACCTCCTCTACAATTTTCATATTTTCATTCTGTTTCTGTACAACAAGTTCTTCCGATGGTGTTTGTACTTTAGCTACTTTACTTGATTTATCAGAGACTGATTCACTTGTTTTTCTTTTGGAAGCCATTTTTCTACAAATAGAAACAATGAAAAAACTTACAATCAATTGTGCATCATTAAAAAAAGATAGCAACAAATTTAATAAATTCAACATAATATAATATTCTATAGATAATACACTTGTTGCAACAAATAACCCATCTGTTGTAACAAATAGGCCATCTATTGCAACAGGGGAGGCCCTATCTTTCATTTAGAAATGTGGGAGTTTTAGTTAATGCAAGTAAAGGTCATTTTGCGTTAGTTTAAAGAGAAAATAATTTCTTATATACATTTTACTATTATTTGAGTTGAGGGTCTAAACATCCTCTCTATGTTCAAAAGTTCTGCTTTCGCACTACTCTCTCCAGACCCCTCTTATGAGATTACACTGACTAACCGAGTGTTTAGCCCCTATATATCATTGGATGTGAAGTTAGCGTCCTCTATATGTATATATATATTCATCTCCAAACTATTTCACTTCTGAATTTTTCGCCTTTGAATAACATTGGCTTTGGTGAATCAGGCTAAAGATAGTCTGGAGAAATCCATGGTAACTGACCTTGAAACAGGGGAGAGCATAGAGAGTGAATATCGGACAAGTACTGGCGCATTTCTCAACAAAGCTCAGGTTCATGTCCTGTACCTCTTTTCTATGCTGCAATTTCTTTTTCAGAACTTTATTAGTGTTGAAACTTTTGTTAATCTTTATTAAAGGATGAAGTTGTTGCTAATGTGGAAGCAAGAATAGCTGCCTGGACATTTCTCCCTGAAGGTACTTTAGTACTACCTCTATGACATTGATTGGCTTCATCTCTATAAATTCTTATTTTTACGCCAACTTGTCAATCAAATAATGGAGAACCAATGCTATTGCATTATGAACATGGGCAAAAATACGAGCCACATTTTGATTATTTTATGGACAAAATTAATCAAGAGATAGGCGGTCATCGTGTAGCTACTGTCCTTATGTATTTATCAGATGTTGATAAGGGTGGAGAAACAGTTTTTCCTAGATCAGAGGTAATTCCAATTTTGTATGACTTTCCTGTTTTTCGCGTCAACTACTTGAGACGAAAACTTTCCTTTCTTCTAAATCTACAGGCTGCAGATTCTCAGCCAAAGGGTGATGACTGGTCTAATTGTGCTAAAGATGGCTATGCAGGTACCGTGAGTCGGTGTCCATCAGCATATTCGTTGAAATTTTAGTGAATTTCAGTATACATTTGTGAAAATACTAGATTCAGTTGAACCTATTGAAATACAAAGTGTCACAAATTAAGTGAGACTAGACTTATTCTGACATAACTTTGCAGTAAAACCAAGGAAGGGCGATGCGTTGTTGTTTTTCAGTCTACATATTAATGCAACAACTGATCGTTTGAGCTTGCACGGAAGTTGCCCAGTGATTGAAGGTGAGAAGTGGTCTGCTACAAAGTGGATTCATGTAAGGTCCTATGACAGTATTCCATCAGCTGAGAAGTGTATCGATATGTATCCTGAATGCTCCAGTTGGGCTGCTTCTGGTGAATGTGATAAAAATCCTTCATACATGGTTGGCACTCAAGAATATGTAGGTCATTGTAGGAAGAGCTGTAATGTTTGTTCATGATAGAAAATTATAAATCTATATTCTGCGTCATTTAGCACAACACACCCTCAATTAATGTGTATCATGATATATAACTCAAGCTAAATACAATGGTGCACTTGAATGAATGCAGGGGCGGCTCAATGCATTTTAAAAATGAGACATCCATTTTAGGCCTCCAAAAGAATAAACTATATTGTCTTTTTCTTTTAGTTTGTTTCAAAACATTAAAAAATATTTATTTTATCAATTTTTAAATTTAACTTTCACATGACATGTTTAAGATCGAAGATTAAAAAATTATTTGGTATATTATAAAAAATTAAAAACTAGGCTTTCAATTTATTTTTTGCTTTAAGCTACTAACTAACTGGAGCAGCAAATTGCAAATACACAAAAATAGATAAAGGATAGAATGGATAAGACTCAAATTTAGGATAAAAGAATGCCTATGTGGCCCACCCTAATTGTACATTATAATTGTGCAAGATCTGCTAAATTATTTCATACTACAAAACATGGAAAAAACTGTGCAAGAATATGCCAAGTGCCAAGCACAGAGATAAAGCAGGGAAAAAACGGGTGTAAAGATAGAATAGCCCACAAAAAATCGTTAAATTAGATTTAAAAAACTAATGAACAGTTATAAAACATAAACCCACAAAAACAGATAGAAATATTCGATCAAACATACCAACTTTTTTTTGATAAATAAATTCATGACTACTTTAGAGAGATCAGCATACTCATTCCGGCGACAAGGATCATCCGGACACATTTGGGCCAATAGACCCGCAGGAGGCGACCCACCAACAACAACGGTTCATGGAACTGAACAAAATAGAAGAACATCAAATGTTGTTACCAATTCTGTCGGAATGGAAACAAATGAGAAAGCATGTTCTAAATCAGAAAGTAAGCCACCGAGGTGTTCTTTTATTGCCATTTTTGGACGATGCGCTAAAACTCCCGTCTCCTAAAGATTCATAGCCATATTTTCATGTTATAGTGTTACATCGAATTTGAGACATTCTTTCCAAACATGAATCATGAATACACAATGATAAAATTATTTGTCAATTTCTTTTTTTTTCATTCAATGAAATGAATCGAATGGACAAAGTTGGATCTAGTCAGCAAAATCTTCATGAAGAGTTGAGAACATGTCTCCAAAATGCTACAATATGGGATCTGTAACACCAAATATTGAAGAAATATTCTTCTTCATTCACTGCGTTAGCATTACATTACAGGATAGGACCGAAAAATGGCCTATGGCTATACATTTCAGATGGAAATTTAATTTAATACAAGGGAAGAGACAATTCCCTATAATATTTGAGTATGCCATGGTTTAGAAGCCAAGTTGGTGATACTTGGCGTAGTCGATCTCATTCATTCTAATACAACACAATATATTTTCTGGTAAATCCTCTGCCTTGTTTCCCTGCACGACATTTTACCAAGTAATATCAGATACAAGTCTTCAAGAGGTAATCAAATCCGAACTTAGAAATGTTAATAGCTAGCTAGTTACCTGAATTGTCAGACCAAAGTCAAGGACACAGTTTTTCAATCTGTCTTTAAATGATTCCACTCCTTTTCTTGCGAGGTAATTGAATCTGTGAATGTCCAAATCTATCTCAAAATAGTTTTCTCCCTGCAATAGCCAACATTAAAAATCTCAGTATCAACACAAAGGAAATATGTTTGATTTTACGTGCCAAATACATGAATGTTTGTACACAAAAGGAGTGATTATCCTTGTAAAAAGGTAAAAAGTATAAGCTGTCAATCTATATGCATCAAGAAAATGTGATTGGAAAGATTTGTTTGAATATTCTTTTGTCCAGGCACCACAACCAGGGGCAGACCCACGTTGATCAAAGGGGTGTTAAGAGACACCGCTTTGTCGGAAAATTTTACTACTATATATTTTAATTACTTGACAATGGATACCTCTTGGCACTTTGGTTCAGTGCTCACTTTTGTTCTTTGATAAGTAATATTGAAACCAAGAAGTGCTTGGAATTTCTGGTGGAAGTTTGTTTCCGTAGAAGTTAGAAGGTGATGTCGTTTATATGCAATGTACAACATATTATCTTTTACTCATGCAGGGGCAGATGGAGAGTATTGGCTAGGGGTTTGGCCAAACCCATTGGTTCGAACTTTGTATTAGTCTTAAAAATCCATTGAATATTTCCAAATTACTAATTTAGAACCCAATAACTTAGAGACTTTAGAATTCAGAATAAGCTTCAAATTCTAGTTCCACCGCTGGTCTCATGAAGGTGGATTCAGAGTTCGCTATTTTCAGAGGCTAGTTATAACCAAGTCATAAAAATAAACTGTAATGATGCTAGCTGTACAGAGTTTCTAGATTAACGTACCAAATAAAATTCATGTTGAGGACGTGAGAGCACAGGCTTTTCGTTGTATGCATTCAAGAGTTTCTTCTCAGCCGCACTTAATTGAAGATCCTCTGTGTTTACAACTCGGCCCAAGAATTTCAATCTTTCCCTGAAGGGTGCATTTGTATCCCTGGGAAAGCCTTTGATCTTCTCTATTTCATCATGTATTAACCTCTGTCCCACAGATAGCAAGAAAAAGAATAACGAATCAGCAATTTATATAAAAAGAGAAAATTATGTATGTACACAGTAAAATCAAATATACTCCTATCTGGTTACAGGAAGAGGTAATCTTGCTAAGTGTTACTCATAAAGAAATCACAAAATGAAGTCATGTAAAGAAAATTCACCATCATACCTGGAGATTTTCTTGAAATTGGACTGGCATTTCCTTTGAGTAATTTTCTGAAAGTTTGAAGTAGAGAACAAAATTCATCCCTTCTCCATCATATTCATTTTGGAAGATTGCAGGAGGGTACAGCGGTATCTGAGATGTAAGAACAGTCAATCATTGTTTGGGGAATGCAAATCATTAGTAGTATGAATTCTCCAAAAAAGAATAAAAAATACTGCCAGCATCTTCTTCTGGGGCAGGTTTTAAATGCCGAATCTGAGCAATAAAAATAAATCTAATATCTGAGGAAGATATGATTGTGTATCAAATATGAGACAATATACTTCAACAGTGTTTTGAAGTATACACTGATATAACAATGTGAAGAAAAAAATAGTGGCATCCCAATACCTGAAGATTTACAACAAGAATGGATGGAACTTCACTGGATGAATCGATGGCTGGAAGTTCCACAAAACGTGCAATATGATCAATTTTCCGTGGTGATAAGAATACATCAGCACCAAAAGGATAAAATGCAGCACAATTTAAAGCAAAGTCTTTCTTCTTATCCCTGTCAAAGAATTTAGAGGGATTGAACTTAATATTCAATTGAGCAAAATAAACTTGGAATATACTCGAGAAAGAAATGGACAAAGTCGGAGAAATGCCTATTATAGTCACAGATCTTATTTAGAAAAAAAAAATTATCTCACAGATGGAGTCCCTCATCAGTAGTATTATCTTACCTGAAGAAATTTTTACCACGGATCTTGAAAGTATTTGGCTCAACGGATGACCAGCAGTTTGCCATTTTCCGTCCCAACGGGCTGCAAGGAATTTGAGAACCAGCTATTGGTCTTTGCAGAACAGTCTTTGGTGACACTGGAGAATGAAAAGCAGACAAGTCAATAACATAAAACAATTAAAGTGAATCCAGTTGTAGCTTGTAGCACTATGTAGATACAATCAACACCTTCAATTGTCGTCTATGATTCAAAGTATGCTTAGACAAGTTACAGCTATTATGTGTGGGTCACAAATATGACGATCAACTCAAGATGAAGTAACAGCATAATACATTCTTTATATTCTACTTAATGCATATTACCTAATATAATGGTTTATTCTCTTAATATATGATTCCATAAGTTAAAAAGGTTGATTACAACAACTACTGCTGCTGCTACAACTACGCCACAGTCCCTAACAAGTTGGCCTCGGCTATATGAACCCTAACCATGTCGTTCTATTTACACTCATCTCAGTCCAACATTCTAATCTCAAAATCCTTTTAACATTTCGAAAGTGGTTTATGCAAGAAAAGTAGCCAATTTCACACTTTGGCTGCCATTAACAGTATATACAAGGTAAAAGAGCTTACATAATGCAGAACTTGAATTTGTTTCTCTCCATTTAAAAGATAACATCTGGGTTAGGGATGATTTTTTCCGGCTGCGTGGTGAGATCGGATTTAGAGACTTTTTCTTTTCATCCGAAGAGGCAACACAAGCAAGACAAGGCAGACACGGATTTTGTCTTCCACAATTGTGGAAAATTCCTGTTTCAACCCTAGCACCACCATCCATGCTTCGGGGAGTTTTATCATTAAGACTTGGGTCATCCATCTCATTTTGAGAATTTGACTTAAGTTGAGAATCTGCTGAAGAGTTTCTCTTTACAACACCCTCTTTGACAACGCTTGGTTCTTGACTTCCATATGGCTGTTCATGTTTTTCGGAGAGGTCAGAAGCAGCATTGCCATTGTGATACACAAAATCAGAAAATCTTGGAGAAACCCCAGTTGAAAAAGATCCATTTTGTGAAAAGACTGCACATTTTGAAATTATATATATAACATTGATTAGAGATCCTCCTGCCCAAACAATGCAATGACTACAAATTTCTAACGAGGCGGATAACTTACCATCTTGAACACTATGAAAATCATCCTCACAGTCAGATTCAATCACCATCTCCGGGTCGAACCAAGACTCTGCATTTCCTGTTTAGGGCACAAAATCGAGTTATGATCTATATAAGCCTCCAACTACAGCAATTAAGATGTTACTAAATAGATAGAAACATTTCCATTACGGTGTTGACTATTAGTCACAAAAATCACAACAGATTGGAAACTAACCAAAAAAAATAAATGAAAAAGTTCATAAAAAAAAAATATCTCAGAAAACATATTTCAATACTCAAGTCTTTAAAAGCTAATAGCAACAACAAGAAATCCTGATAGGGCGGATCCCCCACGAACCCAAATTGATTGTATTAAAA